GCCCTGGGCAGCCTGGTCCAACGTCTGACCACTCTTTCAGTACAGAAATTTTTCCTAATGTCCAATCTGAACCTCCCCTGACGCAACCTGAGGCCATTGCCTCTCATCCTATTGCTAGTTACTTGGGAGAAGAGACCAACAGCCACCTCGCTACAACCTCCTGTCAGGTAGTTGTACCGAGCGATAAGGTCTCCCCTCAGATACAGAAAACCGAGCGCTGGAAGGAGTTAGGCACCAGATGAGGGTCCCGCGGAGTCCTTGGCCATGAAGCCAGGCTCAACCCCAGTTAACGCACTAGTTGGGACAGAGGCCTCGGCACTGACCAGCTGCAGGAAGGCAGGTCAGGCCCATTGTTTGCACAGCACAGGGGCCACAGCACTCTGCTACCAACAGGCGTTATCCACGCCTGGCTGGAGAGGCCCCGAGGCCAAAGTGCCCCAGATGAGTCTCACACAGCACAAAAATCTATCAAACCGCAGCACACGTTTCTAGCTCAGGAACCCAAACCTCTCCTCCTTCCAGCCTGGGGATGCACATCAGTACAGCACAGATCTGTCTGCAAATCCTGCAGCACCTCTTCTCTGCAGGGTCCCCACCCATCCGTGCAGCTGAACGTACCGGGCATGTCCCGGTAGGAGCCAGCGGACATGCCGCGGGAGGATGTCTCCGGGGCCGGGAGCGGGGTGCTGCCAGCCACCGAGTGCAGAACAAGGACAATGGCATTCACAAGCGCGGGGTGGGCTGGGATCAGCCTGGAGAGAAAGAGCGGGGGAATCAATCACGTACAGAGGGAAACTAAGAACTCAGCAGCTCAATGCCAGCAAAGAACTTCTGTCAGGAACGGCAGAGCCATCTGGCTGCGCCTGCACCACCACAGTGGCCGCCGTCGGCTGCCCAGCAGCAAATGCCTCCCCACCTTGCTCTGCACACCAGAGAAGCTGAGGCTCCTTCTCGATCCCTGACCCTCCCACTGTGTAACAGCTCCCATGTGCCCTCACGGGAGCAACTTTCCACTGTGAGCAACCAGATCCAGATCTGAAACCACGATCCAGAGGCAATGATGGGCCCTCTCCCCCTTTGGTTTAATCCAAGCCCGGAGGCAGATGCCTGTCAAAGCATCAGCTCCCTCCTTTCCGCTGCCAAGGAAGCGGAGCTCTGTCCTGAATCTCCTGCCTGGAGTATCCGCACCGGCAGGCAGCAGCAGCGCTCACTCTCCCACCCACAGGGAGCTGGTCTGTACAACAGCGCGACAAGGGCATTGCTTAGTCACTCCAGCACCTTACGTGAACTTACGTGTCCAGCATGTTGGGGTCCGCAAACACTGAAAAGAGATCCTTGTCCTGCAGGACTCCTGGGAGGAACCAGGAAACACAACGAGTAAAAGACAGGATACGAAAAACAGGAGGCAGTCAAACAAAAGCCATGGGAAAAACTGAAAAAATTGTTTTTTGGGAACTGAGTCACTAGCAGACACCATAAATATTCTATTATTGTTCTCTCTGAAGCCTTTTACGTCTTTCCAGAGAGACTCCTGATCACAGCTGCGCATGCGGGGGACAGGGCTTTCCCAGCAGACGCCTGGGCTGTGCCCCAGCACAGACAGCTCCACCTCAAGGGCAGGATCAAACCCAGCTCCTGGCTGACCCCAGCTAGCCGCTTGCTGTGAGAGGTGGTGACTGCACCCAACACTCCACCTGCCTCGCAGCAATGTGCCAGAAAAACTAGAAACATCCCGGGCCAGAACAAGGAAGCGAGATCCAGTGAGCATTTTTGTAGCCCTTCGCAGCAGGGGGGGGGAAAAAAACCCTCATCGCCACTGCTCTCCTTTGGGCTCCATGTCACTTAATCCTTCTGAAGGCAGCCTCTGTCCTCAAACACTACCAAAAGAGCACAAGACCAACACCTGAGCATCCACTCACGCTTGTGCTCCGCAAAGGAACCAAAAACGACACTTTTGTCAGAGAAGGGGGACTCTCCCTTCCCCGTGCCGGGAATTAAACACTGACTCTCCCTGTTTGGCTTTCCTCAGGTCCTCTGGATCGCACCTGGACTCACCCAAAGCAACGGGGTCGCTGCTGAGGCCGGGCGTAGCCACAATGATCTGGTCCAGTGACTCCTTGTTCCCCAGCATTTTGAAGACCTGATAGGGAAACGAGAGCGGATCAGCAGCGCCGCGCGACAAGGCTGCACGCCAGGACTCTCTTCACAGAGAGGGGACAGGCAAAAGCCACCCAGCCAGCAAGGCGCGAAGCCCCACTCACTGCGTCTCTGTAGGCAGGACTGCTGTGCAGAGCAGCATGGAGGACCCGGAACTCCCGCACTGCTGCCACCTTATCCACGGGCTCTGAGGGAGGAAAAATAATGGAACAAAACAGGGTTCTCCCTCTGTCAGCTCTGCCGGACATTCTACAGGCCCCTAGGACTTCCAGACGGCAACAGCAGTGGGGATTCTTCGGTGCCCCTGGATGCAGCTGACCCAGCGAGGAAGGGCACAGACTATCAACCGCCTCGGCACAGCTACCACAGCGCAGCAAGTAACTGCGCTCTCAGCTGCCAGACATATGAAAATACATAGACATATCCTCCTACACATACAAAAGGAGCCGTATTAGAGTAACAACTCTAACTCATCTTGTTCTACAGTCAGACGGTCCAGGAACACATACAAGCCTGCCCATTCTTCAAGCTGAGTAACCAGTCACTCTGCTCTCTGGCAACACGCTACAATTAATCATAGCCAATTAAGGAAGTGATGTTCACTCTCTGCATTACACAGCTCATTCCTTAACCACCCCATCAGCAAGAAAACCTAACATCCATTGGTTAGACACAAATATGTCGGCCAGCTCCTCCTGCAAACCCCATGCCAGGCTCCCAGAAGCAAATCACAAGAGGAGCCGCTTCTCGGCGACGGGGGACCCAGACCAAGCCCATCCCGGCGAGATCTAAGCAGTAACCCAGCCTGCCTCTGCCTCACCTGGCTTCTGGTCAGGCTCAGGCCAGGACTTGCGCAGGACATGAACAGTGGAGCCAGACTGGATGCCGTAAAACTCCAGCGTCTGGTCGTCCCTCAGCTTACGGCCACAGTAGATCAGATCTAGGAGAAACACCTACAGGTAAGTATCGAGAGCACGCTTGGGAAGAGCCTGGGGTCTTTAGGAACCGAGGACCGCCTGGGCATTACTGCTCTGCCCTTTCAGCTGCTGCGCTGGGCCAGTGGCACGGGGACTCCACAACGCAGGGAAATCACCGAGCGGAGACTCAGGGAGGAAAGCACGGAGCTGAGACGCACAGAACACGACCTGGCCACCTCCTTTTGCAAAGGTGACCTCTCTCGCGATTCTCATAAGAGATCTCACAGGGACACATTCGTGCAAGTCAAAAAGATTCCGTAACAAGGGCAGTGACACCATGGGGATCCCGGGCAAATGCAGAACAAGCTGTCCAAAGCACAAAGCACCAAGACTGACATCTCTGGTGCAGGCTCCAAGCCCCCACACCGCCCTGTCTGCTTGCACCCAGCCTCCACGGCAGCAGGACACAGGCAGAGGGGAAGAGGCCGGACCCCCGAGGGGATGCAGGTCAGCACCTACCGATGAGCTCGGGGTCCGGGACAGACTCCTGCAGCTTGCCGGTGATGAGCTGCTTGAGGTTCGCGATGCTGCACCCACCCAGCGGGCATTCTCCCAACTCCATCTCCGGCAGACACAGGATGGATTTGGGGGCCAACGGCTGGTCGGCCAGCTTCACGGCGATGTGCCACTCCGGCAGGGACATGCCGGCCTTCCCACCGGGCACAGCCTAAGCCCTGGAAAGGGAGGAAGGCAAAGCGAAGCGAGACGCTCCCGCAGCCGGTTTTTG